ATGTGGTAGATGATAAGAAGCACCATGAAGGGGTGCAAAGGAAGAGTTCCGAAATGACCTCAAGTATTTATGCTATTGAAGTGAACTTTTCTACTTCTAGCTCAACATCATGGGTATTTGATACTAGATGTGATGAACACATTTGCATAAATTTGAAAAGACTAAAAGAAGGAAGAAAAACCACTTCAAGTGAGGTGGATCTATGTATGGGTAATGGTTGAAGAGTTATGCCATTAGCGGTAGGCACCTATGAGTTAACACTACCATCTAGACTTATGCTTACGCTTAGAAACTATTATTATATTCTTAGTACAACAAGTACTATCATTTTTATTTCTTGTTTAGGCCAAAATGGTTTTTCATTTTTATTTGAGAAAACAATGTTGTTCCTTTTACAAAAATGATGTTTTATATGAAAATACTGAAATAAATAACGTTTTATATGTTATAAACATAAACACACATATATATAACATAAATGTGAAAAGATTCAATACTAATGATCTAAAGAAAACTTATCAATGGTATTATTAACTTGGCCATATAAATGAGAATTGCATATCTAAACTATATCAAAATTGATATTTAAAATCATTTGATTATGAATCTTCCGATGTCTACGAATCTTATCTACTTAGTAAAATGACAAAATCCTTTTTTAGTAGAGAAGTTGAAAGAGTTGCTGATTTGTTAGGCCTCATACATAGTGATGTATGTGGGCCCATATCCACTTAAGCAAGATGAGGATATGATTATTCCATAATCTTTACCGATGATAGATCACATTCGGGTTATGTATATTTGGTAAGACATAAATCTTAAATATTTGAAATGTTTAAAGAATTTAGGTTTGAAGTCGAGAAAAAAATAGGAAAAAGTATTAAAGTACTTCAATCGGATCGAGGTAGAGAATACTTAAGCAATGAATTTTTAGATCGTTGAAAGGAGAATAGGATTCTCTTAAAATAGACCCCACTTGAAATGCCATAAATGAATGGTATGTCCAACAGGAGGAATAGGACATTGTTAGGTATGGTTCGATCCATGATGAGTCAAACTAGTATCCCTACATCATTTTTGGAAAATGCACTCCTTACCGAGATATTTATTTTGAACAGAGTTCTAACAAAGTCTTTTGATTAGACTCCATATAAGATATAGAAAGGAAAGAAAGAAAATTTGTCTCTCCATAAGATTTAAAGTCGTGAAGCATATGTCAAACGTTTGAACGGAGACAAGCTAGAGCCTAAATCAACAAAATGTAAATTTGTGGGATATCCAAAAGAAACAAATGGATATTACTTTGACCAACCACAATAATAAAAGGTCTTCGTGGCTAGGCATACTCTATTCCTTGAGAAGGAGTATATAGATGATAGAACTAGTGGGAGAAAAGTTATAAAGCATTTTAATCATCCCATAAACCAATGTTTTGATGGAATGATCAAAGAGTCCGACTTTTCATAAAATGATAATGAACCTTGTGTATACAAGAAGATTGGTAGGAGCTTAATTATTTTTGTTGTGCTATATGTAGATGATATACTACTTATTAGCAATAACACTACTATGTTGAAATATGTAAAAGATTAGTTATCTAAAAATTTCTCCATGAAAGATATGAGAGAGATAGCTTACATTCTAAGATTCAAGATCTATAGGGATATATCACGAAAAATTTTAGGACTCTCCCTAAGCATATATGTTGATAAAATACTAAAGGAGTTTAGTATGGAAGAATCCAAGAGATGACTTATTCCATTATCACATGGCATAAAACTTTCTAAGGCTAAGTGTCCTAACACATAAAATGAAAGGGAAAAGATGAGTCATATTCCCTATGTATCGATCATATGATCTATTATGTATGTCATGTTATATACACGGTTTGATATCTCATATACTTTGAATATATGTAGTAGATATCAAGCTAATCCAGGTGAAAAACATTGAACCGTTATTAAAAGCATTCTCAAATACTTAAGAAGAAATAAAGATGTTTTTCTAATTCGTGGAAGAGATGAATAGTAGTGATATGATTCACTAATGCTAGTTTTCAAACTAACCATGATGATTTTAAGTCACAATCAGAATTTATTTTCGAATTGAATGTTGGAGCCATTAGCTAGAAGAGTTCCAAGTAAGAAATAGTGATCCACTCAACAACCAAAGCTGAATATATTACAACGATAGAACCAGCTAAGTAAGCTTATTACAAAGGTAGAACCAACTAAGTAAGCTATCTAGATTTATAAATTTCTGTCTAGACTACAAGTGGCTCCTAGCATTATTGATCTAATAGCTGTGTTTTGTGACCACAAAAAAGCTATAGAATAAGATAAGGGGTCAAGGTCTCATAAACGAGCCTAAGCATATATTACGACGCTACCATTTAATTAGAGAGATTACCAATTATGGTGACATAAGGATAGCAAAGGTTCACACTAACAATAACATAGCTGATCCCTTAACTAAGCCTTTATCACAATTGAAACATGAGACCCTTACTCAATCATTGAGATTAAGGAACATGGCTGGTTGACTCTAGTACGAGTGGAAGATTGTTATTCTCAATGCCCAAGATCCAACTATGGATGGATAGGTTTGAGTTATTGTATTATTGTATTATTGTATTATTTATTTCATCAATAATATAAAAGTCTTTCTATTAATTCTTATGTTTTAAGTTTATTAATTTAATAGAATTAGATAAAAATCCTTACGATATACATTTACAATAGTCATAGATTAAAAGATCCGAGACAAAGACTAATGCATATAAATGATATCATTAAAAATTCTAAGTCATAATATCAAGAATGATCAAGAATGGACATTGACTAGATACAGTTAGACTTATAAGTGTTATGCTCATGCTATATGATAGCAATAGGAGATCTCACACCTATTGCCATGGTCATGCCAAAGCAAGCACATATTGATTCATTTTAGAGAACATATCACTAGACTTAACTCAACATGATAACTCATTTGGTTTAGTCTATAAGAATCTCATGCGAAATGGGTACAAATAGTCCTTAGACTTAAAGTCATCATGGTTATCTCATTGGAAGATTTATGTACTTTGACACTCATTTTAATGGACCCGATAAAGGGTTACACATAAATGATTCATTGGGTATACTAGAAATCTAATTGAGGCAGGTGGATGACTAAGACAAGACATGTGATTCCTTGTTTACTAAATGAGTTATGACATTGCACTTCGATGAATGTCTCGTTCAAAAAATCTATGATCATAGTAGGAGTATGCCAATAGAGCATAGTTCTTTATGTCGCGAGGCGACATATATAGGTTAAAATAAGGAAAATGAGCAAAATAGTTGGAGTCTCCACCTAGTATTATGGTTACTAGGAAACCCTATGATTGGTCTATTCGAGTTTTGGATAAGGGGTTTATTACATGTAGGAAAGATTAAAAATCATCCTACCCCATTTTGCTTAAGGGAAGACGCATTACATATAATATTAATTTGATTTTTTATTTTTTAATGATGAAAGACTATGCCTCGCTCTTTAAATATTTGCTCTCTAGTCGAGTGTTTCGGGACTTGGCCGGTCGAAGCCTTTTCCTAACTCGTAACGATTGACTAAAAAAATGGTGAATGCAAGCATAAATAACGTGCATGAAAAATGAAACTCAAAGTAAGCAAATGGGCGAATAAACCAAAATAGGTGAGCCGATAAAATTGAAAAATAGGCGGATGGATGAAATAGATTAATTGGCAAGTGGACAAAATTGACAAATAGGCAAAAATAGGAGGCTTGGCCAAATGGGCAAATAGGAAAAATAATAGCAAAATTGGCAAAAATAATAGAAATCGACAATTAGGCTAAAATAAGGCACAAACTCGGGAGTTAGGCAAAAATAAGCAATAATAGGCAAAAATTGACAATTAGGAAAAAATAAGCTAAAATCGAAAAATTAGGCAAAAAGAGGAAAAAATTGACGATTGGATAAAAGTAAGGCAAAAATCAATAATTAGGCAAGAATTCGACTAAAATCAGCAATTTAAGCGAACGTATGCAAAAATCAGCAATTTAGGAAAATATAGATAAAATTTTGCAATGTTGGCATAGTAGGCGAAAATCGATAATTTAGGCAAACATAGGCAATCATCAATGATTTAGACAAAAAAATCAACAAAAGTCAATAATTAAGCAAAATTGACAATTAAGCTAAAAATCAATAAAAATTGACAAAAGACAAAAATTGATAAAATTAATTATGACAACAAGCGTGATTGATTTTTTTTTTACGAAAATAGATTCACAGGATAAAGTCCAAACTTACATGATTCGACAATGCATTTTTAACAAAATTATCACGCAAATGGTCCAACATTATTATCGGTAAAATGGCCTCAAAACACAATCGAGACTAACACATTTTTAAAAACCGGATACCGAATAACAAGTAAACATTCAAATGCATCCAAACCAACACACCATCCGCCCAATCACAATTGCTATGATGATTTAGTTTAATCATGCACCATCCCAATTCAAATGAATCATACACGAATCAACAGATTAAGTTAACTATCCAACACCATCATTTAATAAATTATAAGCACATATTCATATGAATCACATTTAATACATATAAAAATAAAATAAAGTAAAGTAAAAATTTAAAAATAGATTACTATAAACCAAACGAGCTCGGATGGATTTGCTTGACGATCCTAAGGTCGGATCCAACTTTTCAACCCAAATGGAGATTGATACTTAGTTAACCGAGAAGGAAAGGTGGTTGTTGAATGCATCCATGAGTTAGGTTTGGACCGATTACTAATTGGCATCGGTGGCAAGGGCACACGAGCAGGGATGGATTGGCTAGTGGAGGTACGCCGAGTGTTGGCGGCTCGCTAAGTGCGAAGGCAAGGCATCGATGTGTTGGCACAAGAGGAGCATGCAGAGGGGCTAGAAGGCTTATAGGCATCACGCGATGAAGCAGCTAACACGTTGGGGTTGATCTAGAGGGCATGTGCGTGATGGGAGCTAGCTACGGGTGAGTGCGTAGGTGAGAAAAAAGGGGTATAAGTGTGAAGTGGGCAAGACGCGTAGGCTATTGATGGTGAGATGCGCAAGCCGCCGCACATCGAGGCGTCGGGTTGAGGCATTGCCGGCGAGATGCATGGGCCGTCGCGTGCCGAGGCTAGCTAATGACCTAGAAAACTTCTAATCTCCTTTTCGGATGAAGGTACTATCATGTTTTGAATCGTCTTAACTTTATTTGGATCAATTTCGATTCCTCTATTGCTTACCATAAACCCCAATAATTTTTCCGACTTCACACCGAATGTACACTTTACTCGGATTTAACTTTAATTTGTATTGTTTTAGCCTTTCAAAGAGCTTTCTCAAGGTTAGAGTGTGATCTTTCCTTTCCTTCGACTTTGCAATCATATCATCTACATACTCCTCAATATCATTATGCATCATATCATGGAAGAGTGTGACCATAGCCCTCCGATCGGTAGCTCCAGCATTCTTGAAACCAAGAGGTATTAGCCTATAACGAAAGTCTCCCAAAACGTGATAAAAGTCATCTTCTCTTTATCCTCTATGGCCATTTTGATCCGTTTGTATTCTAAAACCCATAAATGAATTAATAAGTTGCATTCTTTAGACTAGCCCTATTCAAATTATGAAAGTCCACACACACTTGGATTCGACCATGTTTCTTGCCCACGCCAACAATGTTTGACACCCACCGAGGGTACTCAACCACTTCTAAAAATTTGACATTCCACTCGCTTTTTATCTCATCCGACTTTTAGCGGAATATCTAGCATCGTTTGCCTCGGCTTTTATTTCACTTGCTTGTCCTCTAGGTTCAAAGGCAGCTTGTGTTCCATAATGTCAACGTCTAAGCTCGGTATATCAGCATACGACCATATAAATACATTCGCATATTCTTCTAAAAGTGCAATCAACCTCTCTTTTTCTATACTCTTCATTAGGGTGCTAATCTTTAACTCCCTTCCATTCTCTTTGGTCCCCATATTTATTACTTTTATCTCTTCTTTGTGCAGCTAAAGGGACCATTTTGATTGTTCAATCAACTTAGTGAATTCTTGAATATCATTGTCATCACATTTGTCCTCATCCATTGTAATAAAGGTTTCATCAAAATTAAGCCAAATATTTTTAAAATAATCATTTTGAGTTTTTAATAAGTGATTATATTGATTGTCCCTAAAATAAAAATAAAGTGCAAATAAAGAAAAATAGAAGAAAGCAAGGGCTAAAATTCAAACAAAGTTTGCGCAATCCAAGTAATTAATGTCATTATGAAAAACAATAACAATGGATAGTATATGTTTTATTTACTATGATGCTCAAAGAAAAAAAGATAAAAATGATAAGAAAATTTCTCAGCCTTGAAGACCGAAAGGTACTTCTTCATGAACCAATTATACAACTCTTCTCCTTTAGTGACTTACGAACGAGTTGATCTAAATCAAAGGTGTCTCCAAATGTATTGATTGTGAGTCAGGGTAGAACAATTGTACTTGCTTTGGCTAAGGTTAGCATTAGCTGGACAAACTAGCCTCCATCATCATACTTCTTCAAATCTTAGAGTGTTCATCGCCATATCTTTGAATAACCAATCTAGACTCAAATCTTTATCATTCACATCGCCTATATACAAAGGATTTATAAATGTGACACGAATATGAGGGATATCAATCTTCTCATCAATTAGGTCACGTCCCACAATACGAACCATTTTCTTTTCTCATTTTATCTCTACCATCCTCTAATAGTCCTTTCTAGATGGCTTGAAGCTTAACTTAAAGGGGTGGTCTCCATATCTCGACTACATATAAATCCCTACCCGTAATGAGTCTCTCGCTCACCTCAAATGGATGTGTCCCCCATTTTATTATGTACTTAGCTAACATTTTCACAACTTTTGACAGTTTAAGTCTTCTTCTTTATGAATTCTCCGAGACCGCTTCCGCATGCACCCCTCGAAGGCATGCAAATCCTCATCACATGCCCCCTCTATCTCAATATATGAGATGGATACATTCCGAACCACCATCACTATTTCCTCGGCTTTTACCATCATATGCTTGTTCCGTTATCTTACTTGGCCTCATGTGGGAAGGATCCATTGGTAGGCAATCTAACATTCATTTAGCCAACATGTTAATTGAGGATCCATTATCAATCAATACTTTTGTTATCGCGTGTCCTTGCATTTGATAGTAATGTATAGTGGTTTATTATGCCTAGTGCCCTTAGTTCCTAACTCTTTTTCTATGAAATATAGGTAGTTAATAACATGTACTCTACCAACTAGATGTTCCATTGATTCGAAGGTGACATTGTATGAAACATTTACCTCATTTAGAACCTTTTGAAGTGTCTTATGATAGGGCTCTAAACCGAGTATTAATGTCAATAAGGAGATACGATCGTGGGTCTTGTTTAGCTACTCTACCACTATACTCGCTAGGTTTCATTAACTTTAAGAATTTCACTACTTCAATTTCTTTCTCATTCATAGGCTTGCTTACCATAGAATTTAGAGGATTAGTCTTGACTTCTTTACCATTCGTTTTCCTTAATTCTTTTGGAGTAAAGCATCTCTTTGAGTGTGTAACTCTTCTTATGTCAACTATCCCATTAGAAGAGCTCTTCATCATAGCATTTGATCCACCAATTAGAGGAGAACGCCTATAACTATGAAGGGTAGCTCCATAATTGGTGTTCCTAAAAGCAGGAGCCTTCAAGATCAACTTCATAGGACTCGGTTCCATTCACCTCATATCCGAATAATTATAATTTTTTATTTTTAATAGTTGAGGTCGAGTGTTCACCACGGACTTTATCTCCTTCTTCTTTATTCTTAAAGTCCCCAAAGTCAACATGGTTTGAATTTCTTTATGAAACTCATGACAATCATCAACATCATGCCTCATCATTTTATGGAACTTACAAAACTACTCGACATAGGTGGTAGCTCGAGACCCGATAAGCCTCTTGTCAAAATCATTATGCTTTAATATATCGAACGGACTTGACATGGATATTTTCAAAGCCGATCTTTTTTCATCGTATTCCATATCTCCTATCGATAGCATGTTTATCCCTCATACAACATGATTCGATTGAGAGTTAGAGTTGGTATTTAGGGCATTGGAGGAATCCTCGAATGTGATTAAGCCTTGATTGATCAAACTCGCACCCTCTTTTTAAAGCTCACACAATTGTCATTGTTATGATCATTAGCACCACTATGATAGTCACAAACTTCATTTGTTTTATACCAATGAGGAATGACATTGAAGTGGTGAAAGTGTCACAAGGGTTATCTAGCCAATGGCTATGAGATGTTTGAAAAGATCACTATGGGATATGGAGAGCGAGTGGCAATATGTTGTTAAATTACCCCTTGGTAGTATTTCTCAAGAAGTTTGCATTCAATGGTCTTAGTTGGTTTCGTGAGTCGTTATGGGTTTTGGTAGTGTGTTTGAGGTTGACATTGGGGTAGGGTAGGTGTTTGGATAGTTTGGTAAGGGTTGTGCGGCATTTGGTATTATAGAAAGGTTGGTGTTTAGGCTATCGGTCTAGCTACATTAGTTGAGAAAATGTTTATAAGAATTATAAACTAGGCATTCGGGTTAGCCATATCATTACGTAAAATGTATTAGTTTTCATTCTCCAATGAGTTGTTCCATCTCCCTCTAGGATTAACGTAAGACTCCCTAATTTAGTGCACTTCAAAATCCCTCCTCTTGCTAAAATTACTTTCTTATGCTCGGACTCTAAAGGATCGACCGTCCTTTCGACTTAATGGCTTTTTCAATCCGATTGACTATTGATACTATTTCAATAAAGTTATTTGACTTGTTACTTAGTAAATAATCATAGTACGAGCCTTGAAAGTGTTGATAAAAAGGGTAACTAATTTTCTCTCCACATGGGGCGGACGAATACGGAATGTTGTTTTTAGCCATCTTTAAGCATACTCACTAATCGATTTTTTTAGCCATCTTTGAGCATACTCACTAACCGATTTTTTCGAGCCTTTTTCAATAGACTATAGGCTCGACCTATCAAGTGTTATTTCAAGGTTAAATTTATACCGCCTCATGAATATGTTACTAAATCCTTTTATTTTTGGATCTTGTTCTAAGCTAGGTCAATGAACTAGTTGAGGGCGGACTCGTCGAGACTCTCGGGAAAGAAGTGGATCAATAGCTTTTCATCATATGCCACCTCATTCATTTTATTCGGATAAATCCTTAATTAAATCCTAAGGCACTAGCTCCTAGTGTACTTGGTAAGCTCGAGCACCTTTAACTTCTCGGGAATCATCACATTTGACATTAGACATTTATCACTAATGAGAAATGGATCATATATGTTTGCACCTTCGATAGCTATTAAATGCTCCTCAATAGCCGTGAGCTTCTTCGTTTCTAGTCCCGAGGCTATCTTCATTTTAGCCGACTTTTCGGTGATGAAATCAAGAGTGGTTATCATCGATGCTTAAATGGCCCAAGGCAACACCAAGGTAAGGCTCGAACTACAAAAGGTAAAATCATAGGAACCCTTTAGTATCCGATGGTTGGCATGATTAACGATATCGGTAGGCTCCACATAGGGCATGCTAAAAGACGATGTTAGAACAACAGTCCGTGTGATCGGTGGTGACATGGCGATGAACACTTTTGTGGATATCGATCGCTAGCTAACTTCTCTTTCGATGGTGACTTCGGTGTTATGTGATTTTATTGACTTTGTTCGGTAGAGCGACGAAGCCTAGTAATCTCTTGCTTTAGCGCAGCCTACCTCCTTCCGATGATTTTGCTCAAGTAGAGCTCTTTCTTCATTCTCAATCCTTTTCCTCACTTTAGTGTGGTGAATACACAGGGGAAGTGTAGTTTTGGTAGGTCGACCTATGTTTCGTTCAAGAAAAAGGCAATAAACACGGAATGTAAAAAGTAGGTTAAAGACAAAAAGATACTCGAGATCTGGATATGGAATAGCCTTCACTTGGAAGGCTATAAAAGGACTTTGTTAATGGCTTAAGACTATTTCGAATTGGCTTAAAGGTGAACTGTGATTTCACTAATAACCATTGATTTCCATCGAAGGTTGTACTTTATGATCGATCGGCTTAGAAAAAATATCTCA